TTACACCAATTTTAAATCAATAAGGGACAGTTGTTGTTTGGATTGAACCAGTATTACAAATAAAAGGTGGGGGATTAGTGCATGGCATTAATATTTGAATTTCCTTAATCAGGTTTAGATTAATTGATATGATAATTATTGGATTACTAATTTTCCCTGTGTCAGGATTGACTGGATTTCATGTCGTGTTGGTTTCAAGGGGAAGAACTACAAATGAACAGGTCAGTTTGTCATGCATAAAAAATTTAATGCCAGCACAAACTATAACAGATTTTGACTTATATTGTAAACATTAATATTGCAGGTCACTGGAAGGTTTAAAGGGGGACACAATCCTTTCACCAAGGGATGCTGCCTGAACTGTAAATATACCTTATGTGGTCCTGTGTGGCCTAAGTAAGTATTTTTGTACCTCAACGAAGTTGGGGAGCTTATGTAATACCCTTGGTGTCGGCGTCCTCGTCCGTCGTCCCGGGTTAAGGTTAAGTTTTTTTGAGCAGTTTTCTTTTTAAGTACTTCTATGTCCTATATTGATCAGACATGCATGGTAGATGTTTCTAGTGTGTTTCATTGTACCAGTCAAAGTTTCAGATGCTGCAATTTCAGCAAAGGAAAAACCAGGTTAATGTTTTTGGAGCAGGTTAACAATTTTGGTGCAGTTTTTTGATTCTCATTTCCGAGTAACTATAAGCCCTATGTTGACCAAACTTGCATGGATGGTACATCTTAGGATGCACATACCAGGCTTGCTTAGGATGCTGAATCTTACCTACATTTTCCGCATGAGTGAACAGGTTAATGTTTTTGGTGCAGGTCTCATTTCCAAGTACCTATGAGCACTATAGACCAAACTTGCATGGATGATAAATCTAAGGATGCATACTACCAGACTTTTCGGATGCTGAATCTTACCTACATTTTCTGGTTGAGTGAACAGGTTAAATTTTGGGTAGGTCTCATTTCCAAGTTACTTTGAGCCCTATAATGACCAAACTTGCATGGATGGTACATCTTAGGATGCATAGTACCAGACTTGCTTCGGATGCTGAATCTTACCTACATTTTCCGCATGAGTAAACAGGTTTATGTTTTTGGTGCAGGTTTCATTTCCAAGTAACTACGAGCACTATATGACAAACATGCATGGATGATAAATCTAAGGATGCATACTACCAGACTTGCTTCGGATGCTGAATCTGACCTACACTTTGTGGTTGAGTACAGGTTAAAGTTTTGGGGCATTTATTTCCAAGTTACTATGAGCCCTATAATGACCAAACTTCATTGGATGGTACATCTAAGGATGCATAGTACCAGACTTGCTTCGGATGCTGAACTTACCTACATTTTCCGCATCAGTGAACAGGTTTATGTTTTTGGTGCAGGATTCATTTCCAAGTTACTATGAGCCCTATGTTGACCAAACTTGCATGGATGATACATCTAAGGACGCAAGCTACGAGGCTTGCTTCGGAAGCTGAATTCGACATACATTTTCCAGATAATGGACACCTCGTAAAAGTTATGGAAAGCAGGCTATTACCAAGAAACTATAAGGCTTATATAAGCCAGACTTGCACAAATGATGCATCAAGGGATGAAAACTCTCAAACTTGCTTCAGATGCTGGATTTTAATTACGTTTTCATGATGGAGAACTAGTTTGAAGTTTATATATAGGTCTATTCCAAAGTATAAAATCAAAATTGCATAAATTTTTCATTTTTGGATGTACACTTTTTGTTGGTTAATTGTGTGACTTTGCCTTACTTAAAGACAACATTCATTGAGGTGAGCTCTGTAATCTCTGATTACCTATGTTTTATTGTCAAAACATAATACCAATGCATTCAAATAATGTGATGGGTTTACAAGTCTTCACACATATTAGATATATCCACAAGGTTTGCAAGTAACTCCTGACCAGTTCATGGATATTTATGGTCACAAGGTGATGCAAGACTTAAAAAAAAAGTTTTTGAAACTGAAAATTTACTTTGCAGACATTGTTCTTAAGATCACTGATTTGCTTGTGAGCATTTTCATTGGACAAGTTATGTGGACTATGTCTTAAGATCATTTGTGTATTCTGAAATAATTAAGGAAAAAAAAATACCTACCTACCCACCTGGAAAAAATGTGTGTTGGAGCACTAACAAAAAAAAAATGACCTGGTTCTTAATTTCACTATTTCAGATTATCATCTTATGTGCCTAAACATAGAACGCTGTCAATAGATGCTACAAAAGTGAAGTATACATCAGCCAATAAGGAAATTAAGTTGTACACAGATGCTAGTACTAATGGGGTAAAAAGAAACACAGCAGTAGTGAACCAGAACGTAAGGATTTATTTCAGCAATGTACAGTTCCGAACCCCTCTGTTGTTGTTTTGGAATGTGCCCATTTGTTACAAAATAAAAACTGTGTCTCCGTCATTCCTCATTCAAAATATTTCATATTTCAAGAGCATTATAATTAATAAGTAAATGAAATAAAGATGAAGACTTTTTACACAGTTTTTTTTTTCAAAATTCAAAATTAATTTTGTGTTTTAATTGAATTTTTAATTTAAGTTTGTTACTTACCTAGGTATATATTTCTCAACGGAGAAATACATGTTGTCAACATGTTTCATAATTCTTTTTAAACAGACATGCATCAGTTGTTTTAATTTTATCCTATTTTCAGGAAGGTGATGATACTCTGAAACTATTACATTCAAAAAGAAAAAAAAGTCCAGTATACAATAAAAATGTAACAATGTCTTAATTTCATAAATATAACAATAGGAATGGGTATTTCGTGTACAATGTATTAGAAATTAAATGTGCCATTACTGCCATAAGATTATCAATTACAGAATCTCTTGTACCGGTAGTTCACCTCAGTGTAACCACTAAACTTGCAGTCAGTTTCTTTAGTGGGGGGGGGGCAAAATTTTGTGTTTTTCTTGCTCAAAGGTATGTAAATAATTTTGGCTGACACACAGTTCAATGACGTCATAAAAGAAAGAGACTTCATCTTTTAGATGAGTTTTCAGTATGTTTAATCAACATTTGATACCAATTCACAGAAGATTTTGAGAAAAACACCAGATAAAGTAGAAAACAGTTATTCTGGTCATTTCATATTTGTTTACTTAGTTTACCAGGTATATACATGTATTTTAATAGATATAAACAGATTCTGAAAGGTTTTATTAAATAGCTTCTGAGTATCAGGCACCTTTGCTGATTTGAATTAAAGTGATATAAATTGTTTTCCATTTTAATTTTAATTTTTTTCTTTTATTTTTCAGTTTCAATCAAATATTTTATTAAATGGATTGGTGGTCTTTATTAATCCATATAGACTCATCTTTCAGTACCTTATTTATAATTTATTTATCGTTACGCATGTTCATTTAACCTGGTTTCAGATGGTACATGACTTGTATCACACATGATTATTATATTTAGGTAACAAATTTTGAACAATTTTTAAAAACTTATTTCTGCTACATTTTATCAAATGCTTCCAAGGTATTAATGCAACTAAGTAATACTTATCTTTTATTTAATCGAATTTATGTATGAAGTATATAAATATTTTTATTGTAAACATTCATATCAGTAATACATTCTTTTATAAATACAGGTACAATAGTTTTGATAAGACAGAAATTTATTTAACTCCTTCTAAGTACACATGTACCCTATATGTGACAGGTTGGTCTTGGTTTTCCATTTAGTCTCTTTGTGGATGTGCACAGTTATTCCCCCTGACACTGTAGTGTATTCTTTAGTTGACCACAGGCCAATTTCTACCAGGAGTTACATTAGAGATGGGCTATTCCATAAACATTCACTGCACCCTGTTCACTAATAAACAAATCCAAGCTTTATTTTTATTCTGTTGGTGTCTGATTTTGATTTTTGTTCACAACTCTCATTTTTTTACCTGTTATTTCCCCATACCTGACATGTATATGGAATAGCCCATAGATACTGATTAGGAATCAAATTTAATCATCTAAATATGGCAATCATCAAAGTTGAGGTAACCATTGTTGCTCACTGCTTGTAGAACTGAAGCCAGTTTTAGCTGCTGCTATTTTGTGATTTAATTTTCACTAGGTTGATTAACAGTTCACAAGGTCATAATTTGCTTCCAAAAATAACTCTGCTTACGTAGAATATTACTATCACATGGAGGCAAAATAGTTAATTGTTTGATTTCATTATGTGAGACATCTTTTCCTGTTTAGTAGTATCAGTACATCCAGGCATGTAATGAGTAGCAAATGTAGAATACAATTTCTTTAATTATGAATATATGGTTAATATTTATTTATAAATGTATTGTATATACACAAAATTTAAATAATTTAAAAAAAAAAAAAAAACATCAAAAGGCAATTCTATGAATTTGAAAATATAAGTAGGCAGTCAAGATGTGAAAAAAATGACAGAAAATTAAGACCAAACTCTCATATAATTTTCTGTTTTATTTACAGATATATACATATGTATGCATATATACTATATAACAAATTGCTTGCTCTTATAGAGGAAAAAATATAATGTGTGCATTGTCAAAGTAAGATGTTGGCCAAAACTGCTGATCAACACATGAGTAAAAAAAAATATTACAAAAGCTAGCTTTTTTCAACAACAAGAAAATCTTTGGAGGTTTTGTCGATTTCATTCATTTATAGTGAATATTATTTGATGTAGAAGGTGATGCCATATTTTTAACTTTGAAAACCAAACATTCATATTTATTCTCACTTGTCACCTGTGGAATGTGATGTAGCAATATTTGATTTTTTGCGTTTCAGTTATTCAAGCATGTCATTGAATCTAAACACATCGATTACCAATTTGTTAATTTATAAATTTTCAAATATTACTACATATACATAAATAACTGCAATATACACTATCTCTAGAGCTTTAGTATTAATTTTGAATGCTTACACTATTTATGACAAAGTGCTGTGCTAAAAGATATGGAATTG